TATATTATTTTTGTTTAAAATTATTTATACGAGAGGTACATATGAAATTTGGTTATTAAATTATATATACATAAATATTGTTAAATATTTATGTTATTATTATACTTTATTTCAAGAGTACGACCATCGTAATCGTTATTTTTTTGGAATAGTTATGATATCGGCTCAACTGTCAGGCTTTTAATCGATAAAATAAAAGCGTATCTAACGACACACGACGATACGAGAAACGAAAGAGTCAACCATGTTTGTCTACCTTCTCTCGAGCTAATATATCGATATGACAAACTACATTTTTCTTTTCCTTCCTGCGCCAGAGAGAGAAAGAGAGATAGAGATGGATAGAAGTAAAGAGAGATAGATAGATAGAAAGAGAGAGAGAGGGAGAAAGAGAAAAACGATCGACGGAGATATAAAATAAAATATACAATCAAATCTCCGAACGTAGTGTCGTAGCGTGATTTTAATAAAAGAACAACAACAAAAATAAAAAAGAAAATGAAAAAAAAAAGACATTACGAAAAATGAAAATCCTATGAAAATGTAATAAAAAAGACTTCAAAAGAGAAATCGCGTAAGCGGGTGAACGTGAATACACAAAGGAGTTAACCGTTTTGCGGCAGAACCAAGCAAAATCAAATGTTGTGAAGAAGATAGAGAGAAAGAGAATGAGTGAAAGAGAGTGAGAGAGAGAGAGAGAGAGAGAAAGTATGACGATTTAGTTGAAAGCTGGCTCGATAAAAATGTAAAAGCACAGGAAGCCGATGATAGTTAGATGGATTTTCTTTTGGAATATTTTTATTTATCCATTCTTTTGTTTTCTATTAAACCGTTCGAACGAAAGGTTTATAATATTGGAATATTGGAAGCAACGTAAAAAGTGTGTAGAAAAAAGAAATTATTACATTATTGTAATGATAATAATTTATAAAACTAATCTCAAATTTTCGCAATCGAAAAAAGAAAGAAAGAAAGAAAGAAAATAAAATGAATGTTTCTCTCTTGGATAGAAAATTTAATAATTTATGCAAGTACTAGGAAGAATTTTTGATTATTCGAAGTAAGTAAATATATATAAAAAGAGAGAGAGAGAAACAGAGACCGTGACGTATGTGTATAATATACATCTATGTAAAAAATAGCAAAAGAGAAAGAAAGAGAGAGAGAGAGAGAGAGAGAGAGAGAGAGAGAGAGAGAAGGAAATCAAAACGAAAAAATTCAAATATATATATTTTATATATTTCATATATAAAATATAATAATATATAGCAAGAAAAAGATGTGTACGTAAGCGGTCTACCAGTGAGTAGTATGCTTTTTGGCAAAATTCGAATGGTGATTCGAATAATAAAAATGTTGCACGTAAAGAAGGATAATCATTCATCCATGAAGGGGTTGTTGATTGATGAAGAAAAACAATTATATGAAGAGAAGATAATAAATAAAAAGTAACAAAAAAAAAAAAGAAAGAAAAAACCGTGAATAAAATAGAACGAGATAAACGATATATAGAAATCACGATTCGTATTATTGAACGAATAAATAAATAAAAACAAGTAAATAAATATTTGATAGAAAGAGAAATCGAGAGAAAGAGAGTGAGAGAGAGAGAGAGAGAGAGACAGACAGAAAGACAGAGAGAATGAGAGAGAAATTGTAAAGAATCTCGAGCCGTGGATTATATAATGGGATTTGGTTCGAAGGATCGAAGAATCTCGGTCATATCGTTCAGAGCATATATCTCGAGGGGATGACGTTTGACACCATCACCTCGGTAGAGAGTCGCTTAAAGCACAACATGCATCATCGGCGCAAGCTCAAAATTTACACATATCTAACGCTCCGTAGGCACAGTAAAATGTACACGCGACCCTCTTTTTCTGTGGCATCCTTTTTTTTTTTTTATTCTCTTTTCTTTTTTTTTCCTCTACTTTTTCCTTTTTTTTTTTCTTTTTTTTTCGTTCTTTTTCTTTCATGTTCCCTTACGTTCATCGTTTTAGCGATGTAATGTATTTTATACAAGTATATATGTATATATATATATATATATATATATGTAAAGTATGCCATAAGCGATAATGGTCCAGAAAGTTATGAACTTTTATTTTTTTGTTTTTTTTTTTCTTCTTTCTTTTTCTTCTCTCTTTTTTTTTTTTTTTTTTTTTTTTTTTTTTCATTGCACCGTATTGTGTGTGTGTCATACGAAGATGAAGAAAGAATAATATATCTCGTGTACGTGGTCCTGATGTTACGGAGATTAGAAAGGAATTTAGACGATATCTGTCATCGAGCTTGCGCATCGAAGCACGTGCATATGATTTGCGCGCTTTTTTTTTCTTTTTTCCTTTTTTTTTTTTTGTAATTTAACTTATTTATTTTTCATTGACATTTTCTATATCCCTCTTCTTAGTGTTTTTATTCAAACAACTATAAACAAACAAATAAACAAACAAAAAATAAAGAAAAGAAAAAAGTAGACTGATTGTAATTTAATTGTGTTGTTTTTCGTGCTTCGAAGCGTAAGCATAGCAATCGAATTGGACCTACGATATACTGTGCGAGTCAAATTATAATTAGATTTCTTTTTTTTTTTTTTTTCTTCTTCTCTCTTCATCGTTAATAGTCGTTTTCGTTTGCTTGGACAAAAATTCGTCGATGGGGGTCGTGATGGTAAAGGGTTAAAGATCTCACGTTATTATAAATTTTGTCGTAAGCCACGAAAGAAACAACGAATATGTGTGCTTGTACAAATATATATATATATATATATATAAATTATATGTTTCTTATTTTTCTTTCAAAGAAAAAAATATGAACTGTTAGATGATCGTATAAAAGATTAAAAAAGAAATTTGTCGAACGTGATCTTCTTGCGTGGCCTACGACCTTAAGGAAGATCCTTTGTTTTTTTTTTTTTTATTCGTATCCGGCTCTCGTATCTCGTGTTTTAAAGCGAAGCACGCTTTTCTGCTGCACATGCAGTAGTAAGTATTAGAAAGAAAAATATATATATATATATATATATACGTCTCCGTGAAAATCACGGTATAGAGAGGCGGAACACGAAAATGGATTCCTTCCAAAAAACAAAAAAAAAGAAAACAAAAAAGAAAAAAAGAAGAGAAAAAAAATAAAAAAAAGGTAAGAAAAAGTAATAAAGTAAAAATAAAAATCAAATAATAATAACAATAATAATGATAATAAATAAATAAATAAATAAATAAATAAAAGACAATACTAAAGCGATCTATAAATACATTACGAGGCGTAAGCTCTGATATATACGAACAACATTGCAACGACAGGAGT